GCGGTTCTCCTTGGAGGTCTCCAAGTTCTCCAACTTGGGCAGAAACCACTCAAGCTTTTTATACGGCTAGCAAGCCAATCACTAGCCGCCACGTGGGAATAATTTAACTCAATCCAATAATGGGGCTTGAATTATCATACAAATGGCGGGAACTCTTTGCACCGAGCATTTCCTAGCTGCAAAGAAGAAATGCACCCTGCAAAGAAAGCTACAGTTTGGCGGGAAAATAATTCAGTGGTGCCAAAGCGCACACAAAAACAAAAATCACACCCTTTGGGTTGTGACATAGACCACTTAAAGAGGCAATTTACTTACGTCTACAAAGGGCCCTTAGTCAAGTGTACAAGGGACCTCTTACTCTAGGACTACAAACAAATCACAAGGTCAGACTTTTTAACAAAATATATATTAATATTCTTAAGCCTGTGTTTACACATAGACAGCTTTATGTAGCCTTTTCGAGGGTCAGAAGTTTTGATTCCGTTAAAGTATTTGGTCAAAGGAGAACTAAAAATCCCGTATTTAAAGAAATACTTTTACAATAAAAATTTAATCGCAAATGTTTTGTGGGTTTCAGCTAGTTCACAAATATTAGTCTGTCAGATATCTAATTTGCTCAGTAGACAGCTTCACTTCTTCATATATTAAATTCTCTACTTTATTTTTAATTCATATGAAGTAAATAAAATCAGAATTATATCAAGATATACAGCCTAGGATTGAAATTAAAGCTCTCTAAAATACTAATCTCAATTGAATTTCAATTTTTATACATTTATTATAAAAGCACCTCTTCCTTTGTACTAGATACTATTTAACCTTTTTTTCAAACTGTAGTTGTTATTCCAGGAGCCTTTTAACTAGTTATTTTATTAAAATATGCAGCAGCTAAAATCTATTTGATTATTAGAATCTTCTATCTCTCTCTCTCTCAAATTCTCACAGTTAAGGAAAACAGATGGGCTTTATAATGTAGTGATTCCAGTACTATAATGTACATTGTAGTTTATAAATCTTAAACTTTTCCTTAAAAATAGTTTGAAAAATGGCCACTGTATACTGTCATAATGAAATATTTTGCTTCAGATTTGCTGCTCATCTCCTGTAAGAAGGATACTTACATTTGGGGCATTAGGGGCAGTTTATTTTGAGAGAGATTCACTTTGTTCACTTGGAAGGCTTAAATATCTTTTCAGATTTCTCCGTGTAGATTGGATAAGCCTACAGTGGGATCATAATCCTGTATCTATAACATCAGCTAATGGTGTGATCAGGATGACAGGCTGAGCATTAAGAGGCTTTCATGGGGAACTTACTAATGGTAGAAGATGGGTGGATAGAAGCTTGTTTAAACAAAATGTATTTGATTTAGCTGAAGAAATACAAGAGGGGTTCAGGGAAGCTATAAGTCGTGGAAGGACTGAATGTTTTCATTTAATTTACTTAGTAAAATTAATAACTAAAAGATTTAGAAGGTCCCTAATAAGTGTTTTAATGGGTTATACCGGTTGTATCTTCAGACGCTTTTCATATTTGTGGCCTTAAGGAAAGTTTTGGTGCCTTTATGTTTTTTCCAAAATCTGCATAATATTTTTCCTCTTTATTAACCGCAGACTACAATAGACACGGGTCATCTATCAACTGTCCAGAGTACTTCTACAGGACAGCAGCCACCATCAAGTGATTCATCACAATCTGAAACAGAGCAAGGATTACTCCCTAAAGGCTGGGAAGTCCGACATGCACCAAATGGGAGACCATTCTTTATTGATCACAATACCAAAACTACTACATGGGTAACTTGGATTCAAATTCAAAACTAGTCCAATAGATAGAAATTCTGGACCTGCTGAGATCATTTGGAGTTTTGCCTCTGACTACAGAACACCCATTGATTTGATTTTTTTAAAAAAGGAGTAGAGTTAACTTTTTCTTTAAAATGTATTGTAGTCATCCAAGTCAACTAAGGGGTTGTGTAAGTAATCTATATGCAGTATTTATTTTCCTTCCTCCCACTGGAGATAGTAAATTGGTCTCTCACTAGACCAGCAAAAATTTGTAGGGTGTATACTTATGCAGCATTGGGAGTAGCAATGTTGTGTCTCTTGTAGAACCTAGGAGGGATGATTCCTCTAAAACAGAGATCAGCAGCCTTTTGCCAGCCCAGTCCATAGCTTGTGATCTGGCTGTAGTTGTGGACCAGAAGTCTTCATCATACATCTGAGTAGCCAGATGTCTGCACTTACCCAACCCCTTTGCAGTGAAGGAAATGTAGGTGCTGTCAGGTAGCAGTCTTTGTTATGGAGAAGCTGGGCAGCACAGTGCCACTGATCCTCAGTGCTGGATTTCCCCCAGGCATAGGTTGCCAACCTCTGCTTTAAAACATCTGCTGTGGGTAGCACCATATGAACACAAACAGTGCTGCTTAATATTTGAGCAGCTATGCATGTAGTATTTCAGGAGCCTTTGTTATTCAACTTTGCTTCTCTCAAGCTTATGAATTTAATCTTGATAGTCTCTCAGTCACTCGAGAATAAAAAGTGAAGATAAAATGAGGTGCAAGTCAAGGTTTGGATACATTGATAAATGCCAACATCAGTTAGAAATACTGAATGGTAATTACAGCTGTTTTGTATTTTTAAAACTGTTTTATACAGCTTTATAATGTACTTATCTAATAATGTACTGTCCCCTACAATACACCAAGCTATGGAACTGGAACCCAAGAAATGGACTGCCTGAAAAAAACCATCACTTACTGCAAGCTTGCTTATGGCATATTCCAGAACATACTGCTTGCAGGTTCCCAGTGTATGGTGTTTATTGTGTGCTTTCAAAAAAGCCTTTATCAAAACCCCACTCTGTGGCTCAAGTAGCTGGTCTTCCATTTCAGTGCTGGTGCTACAGGTGCCATCACCCTAAATGTTGCCCTCCCTTTTTAGTTGTTATTCTCTTCTTACTATATTGCCATACACCAGCTTGGGGAGAGGGACCATAGTGTTGGTGGTCAGAGGTGAGACGGGCAGTGCTGGGAGCCAGTGAGGCAGGAAGAAGGTTTCATGATGCACACAGAAGCAGTGCCTGCAGCCGTAGTATCCCAGCCTGCACTAGGCCAGGATCTTAGGAGGACATAATACTAGGAACACTGAATACAGGTTTCTGCAATAGGGTCTGGCCTCCAAACTGGCAGCAGCATTGTGACCCTTCCCAGCCTGACTGATTTCCACCTTCCCCCCTCCCGTTTTCTCATTGTCATAGAAATCTGTGGTAGGGCACCTTTGGTGCTTGCCACTTTAAGAGGTTTAAGCGGGCTGTGGAGCAGCTGGCAGGTGTTGTGTGGCCTAACGAGGCAGTCACATGACCACAAGAGGGCTCCTGGATTGGAGGACGGGGCTGGACAACCTTAGCATAAACCCGGGCCCTCAGAACTGGGGTGGCAGTTGCTGTAGAGATGCTGCTGGAGTAACATTGCCCAACTGGAGTACTGCTGCTCCCAGAACATCTGGAAGTCCAGGTCAGGAACTATGGGGATGGAAGGAGGTTCCTGGTCCTGGAGCATGACCTGAAACTACACCCTGCTGGGGTTGGATGGTGTGATGGGGCTGCCTGTGGCTGGGGGGGCTCCCGGAAATGCCAAACCTGTGCCTCTCCAGTGAAAGGCGAGTATGGGGTACCGTATAGCCTCAGCCCCCACAACCTGGTGGGTTACCCCATAGAGGGAACAGGTGATGGGTTCCGGCATGTCATTGGACACCTAAGGCCCAAGAGGTGCAAGACCTAGTAGCCCCAGTGAGGTGGTGGTTTAGTGGCCCCAGGGAGGGGTGTGTGAGAGTAAGGAGGTTGTGTAGAGTAGGGTCCGCATGGGCGAGCCTGAAGGACTGCACATAGGCTGAGCGTAATGATAGAGTGGGCTGTATTTGGAGGGGCCCAAGAAGGCAGACCCACATAGGAGAGTGAGTGCGAGCGGCTCAATAACCTACCCGGAGTAGCCTCGACTGGCCCGTACTGTGGCCAGTGCCAGAGCACCACCGCAAGGGATGGCCAGAGCCAGGGGCCTGGAGTTCCAGCTGGCCTAGAGGTGAGGCCAAGACCTGTATGGTCAGAGGTCCTGCAGGTGGCCACTGCCAAGAGGGAAAAGGGCTTAGGGAGTTTTGCAGCCCAAAATGAGGGTGGAGGTTAGACTGCCTGAGTAGGAGGGATCAAGGTGGGGTTGAAATGTCAGGCGGCCGTACAGCGAGGTCCATTGTGGGGCAGGAGCCATATAGTGATGCCATATGCGAGGCATGGGACATGGTGTAGGGACAGTACAGAGCCATGTATTATGCCCTTGGCATCAGGCATTAAATGGGCACCCTCCCAAGCCCTCAGAGTTGCATCAAAGGAGTGGCAGGATAGGCAGGTGGGCAGGCCAATGATTGGGCTGGCCTCAGGACGGCTCCCTGGCACAAAATCATTGATGTTTTCTGGCTTTAACATTAAAGTAGATTTAGTCCCTTTCTGTTTTTAACAACACTTTTGTTTTTGTTTTCAAAGGAAGATCCAAGATTGAAAATTCCAGCTCATCTAAGGAGAAAGACCTCTCTAGATCCCACAGATCTAGGTCCCTTGCCAGTAAGCGAAGTTTTTTATTCTGTTCTGAGGCTATTCAAATAATTTCAGTATTTAAAGTAGCTGTTTCAAAGTCATGATACTCTCCTTGTATTATATGCTCAAATTATGAATTCTACTTTAGAGACTTAAATGGGTGGAACTGGAAAAAAATGAAATCACATGCTGTTTGGGTTAGTTATAAATGTTGTGTTTAAAAATAAATATTAAAAGGTTGCTCTTCTTATAGCCAGGATGGGAAGAGAGAACTCATACAGATGGAAGAATATTCTACATAAACCACAGTATGTAAATTGCAATACCACCCTTATAAATTACTTTAAAATTTCTGCTATTGAGCCTTCCCTAAATAAGTGGAACTAATGAAAAATATCTTACAGACACAAAGAAGACACAATGGGAAGATCCACGACTACAGACTGCAGCGATTACTGGACCAGTAAGACACTGTTTTTAATGGGATTTGATATTTTTGGTGGAATAATATTAATAGAAGCTTGTTGAAAAATTGCCACTTATTAAATATGCAGTCTGGAATGCCTAACTTTTGAGTTTCTTGAATGTGACACTTGGGGAACATAACATTTGGGAACTTTTTAAGTATTTATCCTGTTAGATCTGTTATCCTTAATAATCTTGAGACACCATAGAGGCAGCCAAGAGGTGGACTGTATGACCTGCAGGGCTTTTTAGAGGCTGGCCAATCTACCTCCAGACCTAGCGCACAGGAGTTCAGGCTGTGGCTGCTGGAGCCTCCATGTTGTCACAGCCAACACCCAAGGGGTCAACACCACTGCTGCTCCCCCATCCATTTCCTGTTGTTGACTGCTGCTGATTTTAGTTGCCAGTGGTAACCCAAAACTGGGAATTCAGTGGATAAGGGAGAGGGCAAACTGCACCCATGTTAACCCCCTCGGTGCTGGTGCATCAACAGTTGTTCTGGCAGCCACATCAGAAAGCCCCAAGGGCCACACCTAGAGGCTCTAAATTGCTGCAAAATTGTATGATCCTGAGTCAGAGTTTACAGAATAAAATCAATTAAATGTTTTATCTTAAACAAGCTTGCAGGCAATGGAATTTTGCATAAGTAGGTGTGAACTTCATTTTTAAATGGAAAATAGCTTTCCAGCTTGAATTACTTAGTATATTGGGTAAACCGCCAATACTAATTGCAATATACTACAGTTTATAATCACAGAGGTTTTTCAGTGTTAATTATGTATACATTTCACAGTTCTATAATGTACTTTTTCATTTGTTTATTCAAAGGCTGTGCCTTACTCCAGGGATTACAAAAGAAAATATGAATTCTTCAGAAAAAAGTTGAAGAAGCAGGTTAGTAATCTACAAGTTGCTTACAAAGGTATAAGAAACTTTTTCTACATACTCATTAAACCATTTTTATTACTTTTGGAGAAACAGTAAAGAAGGGCCAGAAAGTAGTCAGATCAGCCATCTCAGAATTCCAGCAGAGATCGCATGAAATCAGCCTATCTGATCTCCTAGCATAAGGAGTATGTCAGAGGGACCAAGTGGTATGTCTGGAGTGTGGGTTTTTTTTGCTGTTTTTCACACACAGAAATTAAGTGCATTTAACCAATGCCTTGTGGCTCAGTATACTTGATTTCACACCTGTGCTTGGCGTGTTGTTACCTGTTCTGTCTGTGATGGCAAGTACTAGTAATTTTGCATTCTCTGCTATATCAAACCTATACCACCGAATCTTGATATTCTTCAAGAATGTTTTTGTATCAAAATAAAATTTGAAATTAGATGCTTTCTCATACTTCAGGAAGGCAGAACCATCTTTTAACCTTTCCAATTTAGACTTTTTCAAATGAAAAGCAACTACTATAAATTCTAAAGTGGGTATACTTCATTTTGATACATATATCTCTGATCTAGCAAGTGTAACATTCATGCATACATGGCATGATTCTCATCTGGGAGGTAATAGTGAGTTCTGCCATACAATATAGTTGGTACCAGCTTTTGGTATCTGTATTGTTTAGAATGAAATAAAGTAATAGCATTTCAAACATACAAAAATGAATAGTCTTATTTAGCATCCACAAACATAACCTTGATTATTAAAGCAGGTTAAAGTGAATCGTGATTTAAATTGGGAAAGAGGAAAGCATTGATTTGGTTTTTCAATGATCAATTCCAATCTTGTGATGGATTTCTGGGGGCGGTTTCTTAAAGGTTGATGCTTATGGACTGGTTACCATTGGCATTTTGGCAACTAAATATAGCCTTTGTGCTAAGTTTCACAGGATTTTTGCAAAGTAAAAAGATGTACTATCCATACAAATTTATTTAAATAGTTTTATAATTTAACACACACTTTTTTCAGATTCTTAATGTCTACAGGTTTTTTAGGTTAGAAAATGGTAAATTATGCATTTCTTTTTGTATTTGATCATTAGTTTTGAACTTATGATCTGTGAAAGGTGCAATTTTGATTAAAGTTGAGGCTAAATTAAATGTACAACAATAGCTTTTCAAGATTTGCTCTTTTTACTGAGTAAATAAAACTACCCTCAGTTCAGGGATAATAAAAGCAAGTTTTATCAAAGCAAATCTGTTCTCTAAACCAGTTAACCAAGAAAACAGTATCTCTCACTGGCAAGTTGACCTTTTAATTTTATTCCTGGTCATTGTATCATCCATGATTTTAGAATGAGTAAATCTCAACTAGTCATACCTAACTAATTTTAAATTGAAAGTGGAAAACAAGGTCTCCTGCCTTTGCAATACTCAGTCTAGTTCTTAACTTTTGAAAGAACTAGAAATTCATCTGAACTAGCTGAATAAAGTGAAGAAAATATATTTTGTATACCTGCAGAAGAGGCTGCCATTTGTCAAAAAATCAATTAACACTTCTGCAGTCAGGTGTCAGGTACACAACCAATAACTTCCCACTGTCATAATCTTTTACTTTAAATTTGAAGATTTTTAAATAGCTGTATTTGGAAATACAGCCATATTTTTAAATCATCATGAGTTAAAAAAGGCAGTTTAAAATAAAATATACAGAAGTTATGGTCTTTATTTAGGGCACTGTACTGAACTAAGAAGTGAGAGAGAATCTGCAAATAAAATGCTTTTTTAAAAGCAGCTGAAATGAAAATGTTTGGGGTTTGTTTTAAACAAAATATGGTCATGGGTCAGTTTAAATGTCTAAAATGTTTTATACCAGAGGTGCTCTACATGGGTCAGTTTAAATGTCTAAAATGTTTTACCCCAGAGGTGCTCTCCCCCAGCCTGTAGGCCGGATCCGGCCTGGAGCACCATGTCATCCAGCTCACAGGGCTCCCTGCCAGTCCAGAAATTTGGTGGCAGGAAAGCAGAAGCACTATTCACCTGCTGCCAGATTTCCACACCCATGGAGAGCCCTGGGCCTTGGGTGCTGGATCAGGTGCCTAATCCCAGCACACACAGGGCCTGCTCCACATCGCTTACCTGACCCAGAGCCAAAAGGTTGAATGCCGCTTGTTCTACACTTTTTAACATACTGTCGAGAACTTAGGTGCTAATGAGGACATTAAGGGCCTGTCCACATATGCAAGCATGTGCACTTGCAGCAGCTCAAATAGAAGCGATGCAAATTTGAGCCAGAGCTTTTTGCCTCAGCTCACGTGTTTGGACATGCACTTTGTTGAGGAGCATATTGTGCTACTTAGGGCAAAATAACCCTACCTGGCTCCTCCCACATCTGCAGCTAGGGGCAGCTGGAGTCTGGGGCCAAGGGCCTGTCCACATATGCAAGCATGTGCACTTGCAGCAGCTCAAATAGAAGCGATGCAAATTTGAGCCAGAGCTTTTTGCCTCAGCTCACGTGTTTGGACATGCACTTTGTTGAGGAGCATATTGTGCTACTTAGGGCAAAATAACCCTACCTGGCTCCTCCCACATCTGCAGCTAGGGGCAGCTGGAGTCTGGGGCCATACCTGTGCTGTCCCCAGCAGTACAAAAAGCTGCCCTGGCAAGTAGCTCAGGGCTACTCACTCTCAGGAGCTTCTGGGGCCCAGCCAATCGGTACCTGGGGACACTATCCCTTGTGCCAGCTGGACTGCTGAAGCAGCCCTGAGAGTTCCCTGCACCCTCTACCCACTACATCAGTCTGGCAGTGGGGGCTGCCACCTGGCCATGACCTGCTGTGCACCTGCCAGACTTGGCTGGGGCACGCACAGACAG